TCTTGCTGCGAGGCAACAGCGCTACCAACTGCCCCACCCTGCAGCCCTGAGTTCTATTTGACCTCAGCAGTTTAAACCTCCAGAAAATAAAATTGTTACCCAAGTTTATATATAAATAGCCCTTTAAATGAAACTGAAATAAAAATGTCAATGACTTATTTAGAGGTGTTAAATGCTGAATGGGGTCAAATTGACCCCAAAGATAATAGGAGGGTAAAAAGACTGTTGGGTAGATCCACATAAATGCATTCAAAACCCAAAGTTCAGTTGCATGACCAAACTCAGAGCGTGATCCATCCCTGCAGCCCATCACGCCTTGATAATGGAGCTGCTTCGTCGTTGTCCCTGTGGTGTCTGTGCAGGTCTCCCGAGGTATGCTAGTCTGTGGCCCCATACAGACTGGTCAGCAGGATTCAGTGGTTACCTTCATCTCATTAAAATCACTACCTGTGTAGCTCGATAATTGGTTAAATAGTTTGCAATATTTTACTACCATGTGAAATATTTATTTACAGTTTCAGAATCATTGCCAGTATTAGCCATTATTTTTCCCACTCTAGTCCTATTTAGGTTACTTATTTTTATTTTCAGAATGCATCACACTTATAACTTAAATAGCTGGCCAGAGAATTTCCTTTGAAGTTGATCAAGCTTTATTCTATCAAACATTTTTGGTTATTTTTTTGGTTAATAATTTCGTGATGACACATTTTACAGCCCTATTAGTATCTTTGTTAGAAAATAAAATGTACTGCTAGATCAAATTACGCAAAACCAGGAGAGCATATTGGACAGTATGCACACATCTGCTGACCAGCCCATCTACAGCGTTAACCCGAAGCATCCAAACTGAGCAGTGTCAGACCTGCTAACTTCATCTGGGATTCAGGCCAAACAAGGAACCATACAGACATCTGGCAATTCCTACTCCTTGTCCCACCGATTTGATTTGAGGAAGGTTGTTTGCAAGCCCGACATCCGCCTCAGAAACGTGACATCTGTAATCTGAAATCCGACTGCAATCTACTGGACAGTTTTGTTTTATTATGCAAGTTGCCACAATTAAAAATTAAACCCTAATAAAGTCATGTTTCCTTTCACTTTTTCAGGCCAGTGCAACCTTTTAGTACATACTTTGTCCTCCTTTTAAAAACTGCTTTCCAAACACATTAAAGCTACTACAGAGCATGCTATGGATAGAGTTTTTATTGCTTCCTTTTGCTCTACTAGCAACATATTGTGGGGACAGCGCTGTGTACCAATACTTCCTGTCAGAAAGAAAGACAGCAGGTTTTGTCAAACAGATTTACACTGTCAGGATCACAGATGTGTTCAAAGGACAGTGTATTCGTCATGAGGCAGCTGTGTTGAGTTGAAAATGTCATGAGGCAGATGTGCAGTGCACAAGATTGCAGACTTGCTGTCTGACTCACAACAGATCTGGAATGGTGTTAAAATGTAACGTATTCACAATTTTTACTTCACTTCCCACATCTTTACACCAACTTCTAACAAACACTGAACAGGCTTATTTAGTGCTACGCTGTAGTTTATTCATTCATACAAATTCAAATTCGATGTGTGTTATTGGCAGCCAGCTACAGAGAAAAGCAGGCCCTAAAGGTACTGCATCGATGAACCATAAAATGTTCCCACCATTCAACCACATAGAAAAGACATACAAAGTAATTGCACAGGTTGATGTACGTTTGACGTACATTCGGTTTCCCTTTTAACACTGAACTATGGGGAAATGTTTGGAATATAAGGCAGGGGGATAAATAACTTCTGACATAGCCAGAATTGTTGATGGAATGTGGGTTTCAATAAAGATTACAGCAGGATTCTCTCCTCTAATCTTACTTTGAAGTGTTCGTTATGACAAATATTCGATTCCTACACTTGCAACAAATGCAATCAACTACAGTACAAGAAAGAAATAATTTTGGAATGCATAACTATGGTATTCATAAGGCATATTTGGCAGTTTTTTTTTTTTGTAGTGTCCGCAGTCAACCTCATCTCAGACGGACGTTCCTTCCTTCAGCTCCACATACTCTCCCTTAAATAGAAATTATGAAAATTGGTGTCAAAATATACAAACACACAAACATTCTGAACTTGCATATGTGTATGTGATGTTTATCAGTATTAATTGCCTCACCTTGCCCTCCAGATGCTCCTGTAGTGTTCTCACTGTGTCTCTCTCTTTGGTCAACTGCTCCTGAGTGGCTTTGAGAAGCTGCTGGAGCTTGGTCGCTGCCTGCCCCAGATCTTTGGACAGCTTCTTCTCTTTCTCCAGGCGCTCCTGTTTCAACAGCAAACATGACTTTGAAGCACCAAGTGAAAATGTGGATAAGGTCTAATATTAAAGAGAAATTAAGTAATCATAAATAAAAATGAGCAAACACAACCTGTAACTACAAAGCTGTAAAATATATCAATATAAAATTAAAGTTCACAACTTGTATTATTAAATGTTACATCACATCGTTGTCTACCAACTCTTCTTCTGTTTACAACAACTGTAAAGTTTTTTTTTTTTTTTTCTTTCTCAGCACTAGTTTTCTTTAACGGCTGAAATATGGACATGAGAAACAAACAAATATGGCATAAAGTAAAACCAGACTCTGAAAAAGGATGACTTGAAATTGAATCAACTAA